ACAATTGCTAGGCTTGAAGAGACACATTCATTCATGCTACCGGGATCTGGTCAGGAGCAGCTCCACCTCTGGGGCTTACTTTTTGAGTCATTACATAGAGCTGGTTCAGATCACAACCCTATAACCAAATATATAATCAGTTGCTATGAAGAGATGACTACTTTCATGCTACTAAGATTAGACCTGAGGTCATGCCCCACCCTGTGGTATTGGAAGGAGTTGAAATGCCTACCCTACAACCATTTAGTTGGTGGACATGGAGAAACAAATGTATTCATGTTTTTAGTGTCATTACTGCCCCCTGGGGATTTCGTACTTGCTGCAGCTTATATTTTTGCACTATTTGATTAAAGTGTACAGTACAGGTTTTTAATTAACTCATTCACCCCTGAAATTTCATAATTAACTTTTCCAACCTTTAAATTGGAAGAGTTCAAATGTGTCTTCAGGGATGAATGAGTTAAAAGAGAGCTATCAAGGCCTAATTTCCCTCATCGTCTGTTAAAGTCACATGTTATATGTCACTACCATCTTGTATACTTTTTGCCCAGTGAGTTATATTAAAAAAAAAGAATAAAAGCAGATATGAACCTTTAAAAGTGTTTGAATTATGTCTGAATATCTATTATCTACAGCCAATCCATATCCTGAACACAGGGTCATGTTTATATCTACAGCCAATCCTGAACACAGGTCCTGTTTATATCTACAGCCAATCCTGAACACAGGATCCTATTTATATCCATAGCCAATCCTGAACACAGGATACTGGTAATATTTACAGCCAATCCTGAACACATGGTCCTGTTTATAGCTACAGCCAATCCTGCACATAGGATCCTGTTTATATCTACAGCCAACTTGAACACAGGATACTGGTAATATATACAGCCAATCCTGAACACAGGGTCCTGGTTATATCTATAGCCAATCCTGAACACAGGGTCCTAGTAATATCTACAGCCAATCCTGAACACAGGGTCCTGTTTATATCTACAGCCAACTTGAACACAGGATATTGGTAATATCTACAGCCAATCCTGAACAGAGGTCCTGTTTATATCTACAGCCAATCCTGAACACAGGGTCCTTTTTATATCTACACCAAATCCTGAACACAGGAACCTGGTTATATCTACAGCCAACTTGAACACAGGGTCCTGTTTATATTTATAGCCAATCCTGAACACAGGATACTGGTAATATTTACAGCCAATGCTGAACACAGGGTCCTGTTTATATCTACAGCCAATCCTGAACACAGGTCCTGTTTATATCTACACCAAATACTGAACACAGGAACCTGGTTATATCTACAGCCAACTTGAACACATGATACTGGTAATATCTACAACCAATCCTGAACACAGGTCCTGTTTATATCTACACCAAATCCTGAACACAGGAACCTGGTTATATCTACAGCCAAACCTGAACACAGGATCCTCGTTATTTATCTACACTTTATCCTGAACACAGGATCCTCGTTAAATCTATACTTTATCTTGAACACAGGATTTTGTCTACATATATTATATTTTCTGTACTTTTGTTTGTTTGTTTGATACACCCCATTAACAGCTATGGTAATTCAAGGATAAGCCAGGTCATGGTGGTGGAGGAAAACCCGAGTGACATGGAAAACAACAATGGGCTGCGGCCAGTTCCTGGTGACTGGACCACATAGACCTGAAACCAGCGACCCAGTGGTGGAGGGCTAGTGATTGTAGATTGTCACAGATACCTTAACTGCTTAGCCACCGGTCCCCTTTCCTGAATTGCCAATTGTAACATGTCATCCTAGCTAACTCAACAGTGTACACTGTATGTAGTTAACAACACAAGGTACAACTTGATAATCTATGTTGATGTTAGTCCGATAGTTCACAGAAATTTCTCTTTTTACTGGTAAAACATCTAGTCATTGAAATCCTTTAATTCTTCGTATTAAGGTCCACAAATTAAGAACTTGTTACCTGTATAATTTATTTGGTGTAATTATGTCCCGTATCAAGCACTTGACTGTTTTTTGCCAACATTGGCTTGGATTGTTTTCGAAATATATTTTATTTTCTTGACCACAATTTGTTGAAATTCAAACAGGATTAGCAATATTTCTTTAATTCTGTTCGACCTGAACAGAGGTTTACTGTATGTACTAATTAGCAGGTGTGTAGTACATTTACTGTTCGACCTGAACAGAGGTTTACTGTATGTACTAATAGGGAGGTGTGTAGTACATTTACTGTTCGACCTGAACGGAGGTTTACTGTATGTGCTAATAAGCAGGTGTGTAGCACATTTACTGTTCGACCTGAACGGAGGTTTACTATATGTACTAATTAGCAGGCGTGTAGCGCATGTTCTGTTCGACCTGAACGGAGGTTTACTATATGTACTAATTAGCAGGCGTGTAGCGCATGTTCTGTTCGACCTGAACGGAGGTTTACTATATTTACTAATTAGCAGGTGTGTAGAACATTTACTGTTCGACCTGAACGGAGGCTTACTGTATGTGCTAATAAGCAGGTGTGTAGTACATTTACTGTTCCACCTGAACGGAGGTTTACTGTACGTACTAATTAGCAGGTCTGTAGCACATTACTGTTCGACCTGAACGGAGGGTTACTGTATGTACTAATTAGCAGGTGGGTAGCACATTTACTGTTCGACCTAACGGAGGCTTACTGTATGTACTAATTAGCAGGTCTGTAGCACATTACTGTTCGACCTGAACGGAGGGTTACTGTATGTACTAATAGGGAGGTGTGTAGTACATTTCCTGTTCGACCTGACCGGAGGTTTACTGTATGTGCTAATTAGCAGCCGTGTAGCGCATTTACTGTTCGACCTGAACGGAGGCTTACTGTATGTGCTAATAAGCAGGTTTGTAGCACATTTACTGTTCGACCTGAGCGGAGGATTACTGTATGTACTAATAAGCAGGTGTGTAGTACATTTACTGTTCGTCCTGAACGGAGGTTTACTGTATGTACTAATTAGCAGGCGTGTAGCGCATTTACTGTTCGACCTGAACGGAGGCTTACTGTATGTGCTAATAAGCAGGTGTGTAGTACATTTACTGTTCCACCTGAACGGAGGTTTACTGTATGTACTAATTAGCAGGTGTGTAGCACATTTACTAGAAATTATTAAAACAACAGCTAATGTAAGAAAAGATTTTATTATCATTATAAAAATATGAACATCTTAGATACAATTCTTGATTCTTGTGTTTCTAGTCTACAATAATGAATAAGTCGTAGTTAATGGGGAGACACAATCTCACAATGATTACATAAACCTGGCTACACCTATGGTATTAAAGCAACCATTTTCTTCCTGGGGCTGATCTGTAAATGAAATGTGAGGTGAATTCCATGGAAGTTACTTTTATGCCGCTCCATATTTTCAATAATTTGATCGCAAATTAAATGCTGACTTAACTAAAAGATGATTCCTTACATACAGAAAATTTGTTTATAATGTCATCACTATTTACAAAATTAGTATGGATATTTACAAAAAGAGGACGCAGCGTTACTGAATTACACAAGAAACAGGTTTTGATTGGACAAAATATTCTGATTCTCCTCATTTGTAGATACGTAAACATATATATTACCCTACTGTAATTCATGCAAAGACATATGGTTTAATTCTTATATTGTTGCATAATTTCTTTAACAATTTCGAACATTTTGACCGTCTATTTGGTAAATAGATTTAAATGTTGAAAATTACATTTTTCATTACAAACAAATTACTATATCTGTGTATCAGGGTCTTGTCTAACATGATCTGTAACATCAACCATCTACACTTCTGGCTACAAGAGATGATAGGGGTGTCACAATACGCCTGCAGTGGATCACGAGATATTGCAGTAAAGAAGGAATTTATTGCGATACATATCCCAATGTCAAAGCAAATAGAGGCTCAATTTTAAACAGCTATTGTTGACAGAATGTTATTGAACTGTGCAGAATCATGTATCATGTACCAAGTGGATAACACAAATTTCAGACTTTCATTAAACCAATCATCAACTAACTTTTCCACAGATTCCCACCACAGGTAATAGGCTGTTCATTACCAATTACCTGTCAGAATGTGTAGTCATTTACAACTTTACAGTTAAATATTGCGATACAGTGACATTTTGTTTCTGTTTTATGATACGGTATGCCAGTGTTTTGGTATATATACTGGTTTTCCGATATATTGTGACAGCCCTACAAGGTGAAATGTCAATAATAAACCATCTCAATAAAGTTTGCATAACAAGAACAATTTTTGTATAAAAATACATCTTACTTCCATTCATCATCCATAAAATCTAAATCAATTCATCTTATCACTTTCACTAAAATAAAAGTAGGAAAGAAATGCTTGTAAAGGTTTTACTAAAATTAAGTTTACCTTGTACATGTAAACATTAAACTGATACAATTGATTGGATAAATCACCTCACAACCCTCATCTAATTTACCCCTGAAAACACATTTGAACTCTTCCAATTCAAAGGTTGTAATAGTTCATTATAATATTTCAGGGGTGAATGAGTTGTATAATTAATCTGGAAAAAAGCCTCAATTTTATCGTCATTGTCCTTGAACATTAAATTTGACAAAGGAAAGTGGAAGTTTGTTCGGGATGAAAACTTTGAAGAAATGGATACGAACTACCAACTAACCTGTTACATTTAAACTTGAGAGATAAAAATGAAATTATTTACAAAGGGATCGGTTATAAAAACTCTTTTAAAGTGATGATAGTAAATGGAATGGCACGCTATTGATATATTCTTTCTTTCATACCTTATTTATACTAGCAATTCTCTGATACAGATGATAATTCTATATTTACATATTTCCTGTACAGTACATTTTACACTTTTATATACAGACAGCTGTATCAACAAAGGAGGAATTTCACTTCCTACATGGTTATTTATCAATGTCAGAAAAAACTTGCAGAAAACTNCTAAAATGCCCCCCTCCCCCTTAAATGAAAGCATCCCATTACATGTATGTTTGGTTTATAGCAGGAAACAGCTATAAAAGTGACCAAACGTATACTTCTGAAGGTCTTTAAACAACAAAGTCACCATAAAAAAATCACCACAGATCAATTGAAATACTTCAGAATTTCACTTGGAAAATTATTGGACGAAATCCCAGGATGACAGTAAATGACTTGTGGTTTATAAAACAATTTTGCAATATTTAATCACTTCTGTACTATAATTAACTCCATCATTCTAAGTCTGCATCAGCATTCACTGAAGTGTTCAGCACCGAACCGGAACCGTTCAGCACCGAACCGGAACCGTTCAGACACAGGTGGAAGACGAGCCTGTCGCACCACTCTCCTTTGGGTATCCGTCGTCGTCAAACTTTGATGGTTCACGTCTGTACTCGTCATCCATATCACTGATACGTTTCTTGTCCTTGCTGTCGCTCCTATCATAGCCTGACTTTTGGTAGGGTTCATAAGCATGGTCGTCATTCTCCGGGTACTTGTCATCTATATCACTTGGATACTTATCATCAGGGTTGTCGTCACGGCGATCATCATAGTTGTAGCGGTTACCATCCCGATCATAGCCATCATCACGGTCGTAGCTATAGCGACGACCATCACGATCATAGCCATCATCACGGTCGTAATCATCATCGTATCTGCGGTCATCGTCGCGGTAATAGTCACGATCCTCGTCATTGTAGTCGCGACCTTTGTCGTCATAGTCTCGATCTTTGTCATCATAGTCTCGGTCATCATAGTCACGATCGCGGTCATCTTCAGGGTAATCGCTGTAGCGGCGGTCATCATAATCGTCATCATACTTCCTGTCATCAAAGCCGCCATCATCCTTGCGGACATCGTCAAAGCTGCAATAACACGAAAAATAACAGTAAAAAATATGACAGATATCATTGTAGGATGAAATGTTGTGTGGAGATCTCTACACCTAAAAATATACATGTCTTGGTATTTTTAATGCCTCAACTCATATCTCTATACACCTGTTTCTGGCATTTTAAGAAGCACTTATATGTGGATTTTATATTTAGCATGCAGACTTTTAACTCATTCACCCCTTAAATTTCATGATGAACTATTCCAGCCTTTGAATTGGAAGAGTTCAAATGTGTCTTCAGGGGTGAATGAGTTAAAAGTGCATTCTACCAGATACAAAACAGGGAACAAATCATGTTGAGTGAATACACAAGTTTACACTACGCTGGGGAAGGTGAAAGCAGTAACATAGACTTTGGGTAACATGTGGTACATTTGCATATTCTGTTTGTTTTATATAGCTGGGTGTACGCTGCACATAATACTCGAAAGAGGGTGTTGTAGAATATCTAGATAGATAGATAGTAATAAGCACAGGGTGTATAGCAGTCCTAGATATGGCTAAGTCCAATGACGTTTATACACAGGGTGTATAGCAGTCCTAGATATGGCTAAGTCCAATGACGTTTATACACAGGGTGTATAGCAGTCCTAGATATGGCTAAGTCCAATGACGTTTATACACAGGGTGTATAGCAGTCCTAGATATGGCTAAGTCCAATGACGTTTATACACAGGGTGTATAGCAGTCCTAGATATGGCTAAGTCCAATGACGTTTATACACAGGGTGTATAGCAGTCCTAGATATGGCTAAGTCCAATGACGTTTATACACAGGGTGTATAGCAGTCCTAGATATGGCTAAGTCCAATGACGTTTATACACAGGGTGTATAGCAGTCCTAGATATGGCTAAGTCCAATGATGTTTATACATATGCAACAGTTTGGATTCATATCTATAGTCGTGCCTGTAACATACAATTATGAAGAACTCAGTCATTTTCCCCATCAGACTTATTACATGAGGGAGGACACAACTATACATGTAAATGTTTGTGCTGTAACACTCAACGTTTTGTTTCTAAAGATTCAGGCGTCCACAGATTGAGAAGTTTATATATTACACGTTATCAGTACATATGGGTTTGTTCTCGGACTTATACAATTATACAACTTCATGAGCCTCACTCTCAAGTCATTAGACACGAAACGTATGCTAAACACACAGGCATTTCACATTAAATTGTTATATCTGACCTTTGTAACAATAAAATACACTATTTTACATCTTATTTCCGTGGATGTCTAATTTAGTGGTTATACAATTTTTTTTGGTAATCATCTTTCAGTGGTCAATGTAGTCATATTTAAATGGTCATCACATTTTACAGTATTTAAATGGGGTCTTATTGTGAATTTATAAGTGATAAATTATAATGCTAAACAGAAAATCACAGTAACATGCTTTGCTATCTATACACGGAAGATGTTACGCCAATATATGATGTGTGTCACTTGAAAATTGCTGTAGCCGACGCATAGAGTGCAATAATAGAGAAGTACATGTGATGAATTGTCAATGTTCAATTATAAATAACTATGTATACATTTTAATTGTAATCAACAGGCAAATATAATTCAACTATTGTAATTCATTATGATACACTTTGTCATGCAAATAAGGTATACAAATAAAAATAAAAATACAGCTCAATGAAAAAAGTAAACGCAAGTCTCAATGTTATACATGATTGAATGTTACACAGTATACATGAATATTAATGGATTTTAAAAGTTACAGAGCCATTATATCTATAGACTGGACCTTAGGACCGGAAGCCTCTACAGTTTGTGTAGAACATACATAGAAATCACACAGGACAAAGTTATAATGTTCTAGGTTAGTGTTACTGGTTAATTGGCATGCACATACAAATGTTTTATCAACTTAGAACAACAAAAAAAGAGACTCTTTCAACTCACGAAACCAAATAAATACATGGTATACTTAAAGCGCAACTTAATTCAGAAAATTTGCTTAAACCAAAACCCAATCTCTGCCCTCAAGTATAATCCCATAGATGTACCAATATCTGCCCTTGAGAGTAACCCCAGACCAATATTTACTCCTAAATATAAACAGAGACCAATATCTACTTCAAAATATAAACAGAGACCTCATGTTTATTCCCAAGTATAATTGTGGACCAATATGTACCCCTACTATAGCCATCCACCCTTGTCATATCACATATCTTTTCTCTAATATTCTATTTTCTTGTGACAGAATTTAAGGCTCATGGTTATCTATTTGATTTCTTCCTAACATCAAAAACTGACAAATTGCATGCAAGGCTGATGAACAATGTATTCAAATTTTGAAGATTATCAAAGAGAAACTGAGATCTAAGTTGGTCAATCTATCATTACACTACCATACAGGTCACCTTTACTTCTTTGAAAGGCATTACTCTGGGATCAGATGTATGTAGGAGTCTGTAACAGTTTCCAGACTAGTAGCATAACTCTGGGATCACAGGTATGTAGGAGTCTGTAACAGCTTCCAGACTAGTAGCATTACTCTGGGATCAGAGGTATGTAGGAGTCTGTAACAGTTTCCAGACTAGTAGCATAACTCTGGGATCACAGGTATGTAGGAGTCTGTAACAGTTTCCAGACTAGTAGCATTACTCTGGGATCAGAGGTATGTAGGAGTCTGTAACAGTTTCCAGACTAGTAGCATTACTCTGGGATCAGAGGTATGTAGGAGTCTGTAACAGTTTCCAGACTAGTAGCATTACTCTGGGATCA